CGATGCCCCCCCCCCGTCCCTGGGGGTCTCACGTTCACGATGCCCCCCTGTCCCTCCCGGGGGTCTCACGTTCACGATGCCCCCCTGTCCCCCCCGGGGGTCTCACGTTCACAATGCCCCCCTGTCCCCCCCGGGGGTCTCACGTTCACGATGCCCCCCTGTCCCCCCCGGGGGTCTCACGTTGACGATGGCCTCCTTGGTCTGGGCCATGTCGGAGATGACGCCGTCGGTGATGATGAGGAGCACGAAGTACTGAGACCCGTCCAGCACCGCCGCCGCCGCCCTGGGGGGGGCCTCGTCACACGGGGGGGGCGCAGGGACACCCCCCCCGGCCATTGGGATCCCCCCGTGCCATTGGGATCCCCCCGGGCCATTGGGACCCTCCCCGGGGTGCGGGGACCCCCGGGTGCTGGGGGGGGTGTCCTGGGTGCTGGGGGGGTCTGGGAGCTCTGGGGAAGTGGAGTGGGACCCCTGGGGAGGGGGGCTGGGATTCTGGGGGGATGTTGGGACCCCTGGGTGCTGGAGGGGGTCCGGGGTCCCTGGGGGGCTCTGGGGCGATGGGTGGGGCCGCTGAGTTGAGGGGGGGGGGCTCTGTATGACACGGGGGTTGCGCAGGGACCCCCCCCTTACCGGGCCACGTGGTTGACGACGGGGGCGAAGTTGGTGGGGCCGTAGAGCTGCACCCGGCGCAGGCTGCGCTGGTACGCCTCGAGCACCCCCGAAATGCCCTGGCACGCCGGGTTGGCAGCGTCCCCGTTCTGCCACGGGGGCACGGGGACACCGCGGTGACACCAGGGAACCCACCCGGGCACGGGGGGACACCACGGAGCCCACCCAGGGACAAGTGTGACACCATGGACCCCACCTGGGGTCACAGGGACACCACGGAGTCCGGTGGGGGACACAGCCCTCACCCGGGGACAGGGGGACAGCAGGGAACCCCAGTGACAAGGGTGACACCGCCACGGCCCCAGAGCAGTGACAGGGATGATGCCACCACATCCCCGACCCAGTGAAAAAGCTGACACCAACCTGTCCCCACCCCAGTGACAAGGACGGCACTGCCATGTCCCCAGATTGGTGACAAGGTCACCACCCCTCCCAGCCCAGTGACAAAGGTGACACCCCCACATCGCCCCCAGTGGCCAGGGTGACACCGCCATGGCCCCGCCCCAGTTCCATCCCAAACACTGCCATGGCCCCACCCCAGTGACAAAGGTGACACCTCCCATCTGCACCCCAGTGACAAGACCACCACCCCATCCCCAACCTGGTGACAAGACACTCCCACTTCATTCCCAACCCAGTGACAAGGGTGACATCAGCATGGTCCCAACCTGGTGACCAGGGTGACACCCCCACCCCCACCCCAATGGCAAAGGTGACACCCCTCATCCCCCCCAGTGACAAAGGTGACACCCCCACATCCCCCCCAGTGACAAAGGTGACACCCCCACATTCCCCCCAGTGACCAGGGTGACACCCCCATCCCCAACCTGGTGACCAGGGTGACACTCCCCCATCTCCACTCCAATGACCAGGGTGACACCCCCACATCCACCCCAGTGACAAAGGTGACACCCCCCACTGCCCCCCACCCAACAACCCCCCGCGCCCACATCCCGCCATCCCCGCTGTCCCCTTTGTCCCCTCACCAGCGGGAACTCGTGGGACACGCGCCCGTCCGGGGGGACCTTGGCGCCGAAGCCGAGGGCAGGGACGAGTTTGTCGCTGTCGTAGTCCTGCAGGATGTCCCCGACGGCGCGCAGGGCCAGCGAGTACGCGTTGGGCTGGAACGGGCTCAGGTAGTGCAGCGACGTGGGCTGAGAGGGGTTCCCTGCGGGGGGGGCGTCAGGACCCCCCTGTGCCCCCTGGACCCCCCCGTGCCCCCAAATCTGCCTGTGTGCCCCCAAAACAACCCCTGTGTGCCCCCAAAACAATCTCTGTCACCAAAATCCCCCCGTGTGCCCCCAAACCCGGCTGTGTCACCTCGAACCCCGCTGTGTGCCCCCAAAACAACCCCTGTGCCCCCAAACCCTGCTGTGTGCCCCCAAACCCTCCTGTGTGCCTCCAAATCTCGCTGTGTGCCCCAAACCCTCCCATGTGCCCCCAAATCCCACTGTGTGCCCCCAAAACAACCCTCCCGCTGTGTCACCTCACACCCCCCATGTGCCCCCTACCCCCCCGTTCCCCCAAACCTCCTCGTGTCACCCCAAAACAACCACTGTGCCCCCCAAACCCCCTGTACCACCCTGTCACTCTGTGTGTCCCCCCAAAAACCTCTGTGCCCCCCAACTCCCCCATGTGTCCCCCCCAGACCCATTTTGGGGTCCCACCGTTGGACGCCGTGAAGTCGATGGCCACCGTGAAGTTCAGCTGCGTCCTGGGGGGCACAGGGGGGGCACAGGGGACACAGGTGGGGTTTGGGGGG